CAGTTTACAAACATATTATGTTCATCATTGTTTACACGATTATCTTCTTCGTAATACTATTCCACACCAATCCAATCGAAAAAATGGGTTCCTACAAAATGCTCTACAACGATGAGTGATTTATTGGGTTAGAATATTCATTTATATGGAAAACATATTCCCTCCACTATTGTATAAAGTGGAGATGGGTGGTCTTTTATTTTATGAGTGCACCATGTATACATAGATTAGAGAGAGAGAGAGAGAGAGAGAGAGAGAGAGAGAGAGAGAGTTTGGATTCAGATTCTCCCCATCCATGAGTGTTCTTCATGTATCATGTTGTATCTCTCTATCTATCCATTACAGTTTTAGTCACATGTTCTTGTTCATATTATGTTCATACGATTATCTTCTTGATATTATTATTCCGCACCAACCTAATCGATACAATGGGTTCCTACAAAATCATTTTCCAATATTGAAATCATTTGATCTAATTCATGTCTAAAACTCGTAGAATCCTCACTGTCTTCATCTTGTACAAATTGAAAACATTTTCCAATGTTGAAATCTCTTTATGTTTCATCTTTCTTATTATTGTTTATTGGTTCTTCATCAATCCATTCCTATAACTTATATTTTTCTCATTTGGATCTATCATATTCAAAAAACAATTCACATAACCAAGAAATTACTTAGTATATAGCTTTCAGATACACTTATTAAAGAGTTGGTAAAAACCTTAAACTTTATGGCATGATTATAATCTGTGGATGATGTCCAAATTTGAGTCCAAATTTGAGAAAGGTAATCACAGTCACAAGACTTTGCATCTTTAAATGTCCTCTTTGATTTGGAAATGATAGCGCTTGACTTGGAGATCATGGATTTAGAGGAAGAATAAGATATGAAAGAAGAAGAAGTCGTTCACAAAGTTCATGAGAGTCTTGCCCTAATTTGTTTCATTTTTTTAACGATGATAATTCGTTTCATTTGGGGGGGGGGGGGGGGGGGGGTTATATCTCTTAGTAATGTCCTACATGTCAAGTGATATGCCAACTAAACAATGTATAACTTAATTACAAAAAATATGGATATGATTTATTTATTTTAAGGGTTATTCAAGTCAAATTGTTAAAATCTAAAAAAGCTTTTTGTTAAATGTTAGTTGATGTAGCTTTTGAAGTTGGAGCTTTTTGTTTAACCCAAAAGCTAAAAGTTCTTATTGCCGAACAATTTTTTTTTTTTTTCGAACTTTTTCTTAGAAGCTGTCAAAAGCCGTGTGTCAAACACACCCATATAAACACTTCCATCTACCACTTTATTTATTAAGCATTTAAACCTATTAAAAAAAAGAAACATTTATTTATATTTGAAGAAATTAAGTGGTAGGGTAAATTACATTAATTGTCCCTCGTGTATGTGCCAACAGGCACGCTTAATCTTTATTTTCAAAAATTAACACAAATTGTCCCTTGTTTGGTTAAATGTTGCACACTTCATCCCTTGTTTTGTTAAAAGTTGCACACTTCATCCCTCGTTAGTTTAGTTTTGCACGTTTCATCCCTTATGAGACATAAAATGATTATTATGCCCTTTTGTATTTCACCATTTAATTTAATCTTATAATTATTATTATAAATTAAAAATAAAAGAAAAAATAGTCCCCCCTTCGTGAAGGTATTGGGTGGTGATTGTCGGATGGGTTCCCAAGCATAATATAAGGACCAATTGATTTTCTAGAATTATAAATAATAAAAAATGATAAAAATTATAAACTTGAAAAATAAAAATAAAATGGCAAGATAGTAGTTTTATGTATGTGAGTGCCCTAACGTGCACCTTTTAACCAAACAATTGACGATCTTAGTTAATTTTTGAAAATAACGATTAAATGTACATTAAAATATGCACAAGGGATGATTTGTGTAATTTACCCTAAGTGGTATATCTATTAAGTTTATCATTTTTTTAAACAACTTTCAACATTAAAAACGAACTAGCGAAAGAGCTAGGAAATTACCAAGAGTTTATGGGGTTTTTCATCCAAACTTTTTTTTTTTTTTTTTTTTTTTGTCTACTGGACTGGTGTTACACCATAAAAAAGAAAAATTCTTGAATCAAATCAATAATCATGTTTCTCTTTATCTTCTTTGCATCATGGACGACATCGTTTTTGTATTTCCAAAGAAACCAAACTCGTGTAGCAACCACCGTATGAATGACTTGTTTCTTGACGAGAGATTTCAAAGAATTGCCCATATTGAAAAGGCCACTTGACCTCTAAAGTTGGCAACTTCAAAGGGTTTATCCTTACTCTAATAACAAAAAAATATACTTTTGCGGCGTGACATCTTTTTAGCCCAAAAACTTTCAATATAAACTAGCTATTATAACCTTAGATCTTTAAAATTTATAGAATTTAAATTTCAAATAGTTATAATAAATATAGGTCGATAAATAAAATCCAAGGAAATCAAGGATTATCCTACTAAATTTATGGTGATTTTTTAGTTGCAAAGAAGTGTTTTATTAGAAGCTAGAAAAGAAGAAATTTGCAAACAAAAATTGGAGGTAGGGCTGTAAACAAACTGAACGTTCGGCGAACCGTTCGTGAACTGTTCGGCGGGAAGTTCGTTTATGTTCGTTTATTTAATAAATGAACGAACATGAACAAAAATTATCGTTCGTTTAGTTAAATGAACGAACATGAACAATGGTCTCGTTCGTTCATTTATGTTCGTGAACGTTCGTTTACGATGTTCATTTACGTTCGTTTATGTTCGTTCGTTTAAGTTTATTTATATTCATCTATATTCAATTATTTTTTATTATATTGCTATATTATATGTTTGTTCATGTTCATATATGTTTAATTGTGTTTTTTTATCTTTGTTCGTTTATGTTTGTTCGTTTATGTTCGTTTAGCATGTTCACGAACATAAATAAACGAACACGAACAAAGTAATTTGTTAAACGAACGAACATGAACAAGAAAATCTCATTCGTTTATCCGTTCGTGTTCGTTTGTTGTTCGGCTAACTTAAACGAACGAACATGAACAAGACCTTGTTCGTGTTCGTTTGGTTCGTTTACAGCCCTAATTGGAGGTATATTTTTATTAATGTTGCCTAAACCTTTTACAAAATGCCAGTTTTTTCAAATAAGAGTTTAAAACATAATCTTAAACACAATTTTTTTTAATTAAGGATTTCGACAACTATTCCCTTAATAACCTTTGTATTTCCTATCTACAAGATATTAGATTTACCAACAAAACATACAATGTTGTATACATTTAAGTGTTTGTAAATTTATGATTAATGATTATGTTATTTTAATTTATCAATCGTGCAATATAAGGGTTTAAACCTAGCTAAATAATAAAAAAGTACCACAAAAATGGCATCAACTAAGACATAACTGAAATTATCGTAGAAGTTGTATATGTTTATATATACTTTCCATCATCCGTTCATAACAACACATCATTTATGTTTTACAAAAAATTATACGAAACCAAACACCATACGATTTTGACTTTGTACTCGATTTTTTTTTAAGTCATTGCGTTATACATCCATCTACTCATTTTGTCTGTCTAAGACCATGCGGTAAATACTACACCAAACCTATAAAAAAAAGTGCAGTATGAGCTAAGTGAGTCATGGTTTTGTCACACATTTTTTTAATTAAATCATATGTATATTAAATAATTATAAAAAATATATTAAAATTCATGATTTTTCTTTCTCTACAAATAGAATATAATATTGATATATTATTTACATATATTCAAAGTTAAATAAAAGTGTGTCAATATATGATATAACAACCATTGGTACCATTGGTTTTGTAATGTGAGAGAAAAAATAACATGACAATATAAAAGGGTGTAAAAATGTGGTAAATGTAATATGATACCTGTCAGCCTAATTGTCAAAGCATTCACAATATAAGAGTTTTTTTATTATGTTTTTCCACGGTAATTTATTTTAATGTAACTCATCAGTCTAAAATGCTTAAAAACTCTCCACATATATATGTAACAGCTTTTTATCCACTTATCTAGAAGACCCTACTCTTATTGATTTGTAATATTTTATTATTTTGTGTATAAATTAGTTAGTATTTAGTAACAACTAATGAGACCCACGTAATTCTTTGTAAAAACTCTAACCTAAAGTATGTAAATTAACAAATTTGATTGAAAAACGTTTTAAATGAAAGATTTCCCAGCAGAAATAAGTTTTTTCTTATAGCATTATAAAAATGACAAAACTTTCTCAATACATTAATTATTTATCAAATAAAAAAAATTATTAATTTATCAAACCAACCAAAGCCCTTGGACTCTTAGAGCCGCTCTTGAAAGTCTTATACAAATTTCAATCCAAAGTGCTAATCAAGGCGGTCCAAACTTATATGGGGTTTGGGGCAAAAAGAAAAAAATATCCTTCAAAAACAAATATAATAAAGTTTAAAAAAATATAATTTATTCTTTGATATGGACGTGTTCAATTAGCAATAACAAACAAGCTAAATTGTTTATGTTTTAAGCTAATTTGAGTTTGAACAAATATATATATATATATATATATATATATATATATATATATATATATATATATATATTATATATATACACACACTACATAGCCCATAAATTTTAAGACTCCTGGAGATGTGGATCATGGACGGCCGCTCGGGTTGCCCAACGTCTGGACCGAACCTGATGCTAATTTGTTAGAACCTGATGCTAATTTGTTATAGACCGGTTCGCGTGGGGTGGGTTATTTAGGATCGAACCTTGATCCGACCGTATTTTTTGGGTTTGGTTCACCACTAACAATCTTTTACTAAAAAACGGCCTAATTTCAATTTAGTTAAAAAAAACTGTATGTTGGATTAGCAGTCCGCAGAAAATCTTTACTGAATAAAAGTAGAAAACGAAATACAAGTAAGCAAGACTGTATATGAACCTTCACTAAAACCTACAAAAGAGAAGATTAAGGCCTGATTTACACTTCCCCAACATTGGGTTGTTGCTCTTCATTCTCCCCTGACATTTCCTCGAGTGACTTCCCTTTTGATTCTGGTACCAAAAGCGTGCATAAAGTTCCCAAAAAATTGATCACACCCAACACTATCAGCGCGTTCTTCACACCTATCCCCGCCGGATATCCTGCATCAGCCTTCGCCGGATCTTGATTCTGAGCCAGGTATAAGAACCCGAAAGCACCCACGATTGCACCGAGTTTCCCTGATGCAGCTGAGATCCCATGGCAAGTGGACCGCAGTCTCGCCGGAAAGATCTCAGCAGGGACGACAAATGTGGTGGCATTTGGACCGAAGTTGGCGAAGAAGAAGGTTAACGAGTACATCACCAAGAATCCGATGTTGTTTCCTGGTTTAATCCAGTGGTTGTAAGGGAATGCCAACGCAAACATGAAGATTGTCATCATTGAGAATCCGAGTAGCTGGATTTTGAAACGTCCCATCTTGTCGATCAAAAAAACCGTGAACCAGTATCCAGGTACAGTGCTGCATAACGCAATTAATGTTTGAGCTCTAGCAATTGTGTAAACTTCGTGAATGGCGTTCATCTTCTTTGCTGCAGGGATCCAACCAATGGCACTGAATATGTCCTTTTGAAATAAATTCTGACTGTAATACGCAATATCAAGTAAGAACCAGGTGCTTGTTGTTCCGAGCAAAGCCTTCCCGTATCGCTGGAGGAATTCCTTGCTGAAAAGACCAAAACTGTTGTTGGATCCCTCCATCACCTTATTTTGTTCTGACTGAATCTCCATTTGCAACACTTTGGACATATCCATGGCAGCTTGATTAGCGTTTTTGGCTACCAGGGCGGTGTAACGGGCGGTTTCCGGCATCTTTGTTCTCCAGTAATAAGTCAAAATCGCTGGTACGGCTCCGACCATCAGAATAATCCGCCATACGTAATCCGCCTCCGGAACTGTGGACCCAATCGGATCAACCTCATACGACGGAGCTTTGAACTTGGCATCAAAAATCGAAGACAGAATAATAGCAAACACCCCGCCGCCTAAAATCCCAAAACCTTGCATTGCAAACACGGCGGCGATAAAACCTCCTCGTGTTTTCTTGTTTGAATACTCCGACATGATGGTAGCAGAGAGTGGGTAATCACCACCGATCCCGAATCCAAGCCAGAACCGGAAGAAGCAAAGAGTAGACATTACCATCTTGGGATCACTACCGAATGACAAACCCGAAGCTATCGAACAGACACACATGAGCATGAGTGTAATGCCATAGACCTTCTTCCTTCCTAGTTTATCACCGAGCCATCCAAAAAAGAGTTGTCCGGCAAGGGTTCCGACTAGGGCAACACCGTTCACGGCAGCAGACACATTCGGAGGTAAACTTCCGGGCTTCGGAGAGCCTGGGGTGTGGTAGTAAATCCGGCCCAGCATCTTCGTCACCAAGGAGATGCAGAAAAGGTCGTAAGCATCCGTGAAAAACCCCATTCCGGCGATTATGATTGTAGTAAAATGGTACCATTGAGTTTTTGCTCCGTCAAGTGCTTTAAGAACTTGTAAATTGCCATTTGATGCCATTGTTGAAGAAGGTTTCGATGTTTGGTCTTTCTTTCGCTGCAAGAAATTGTAAGTTTGAAAGTGCAGGGCCTGCTTTAATCACAAGCGAACCAAGAACAGGAGAGGAAGAAAGAAAGCGTAATAGAGGAGAAAAACACACAGGGATAACTGTTGTTGCCAAAGGCTTTTTTCTTAACCGGAAAAACTTGTTCTGGAATGTGATTAAAACAATTACATCTATTTATACTAAACTAAATAGAATCTCAATCCAACACTAATAGAATCTGTATATTAATAGAATCCTTATGCAATACAAATGGAGGTAAACATAACGAAATAATAAAATAAGGAAACTTTCCTTAATTATCTCCAACATAAATATGTGAGTTAGATATGCATTCTTTTCAAAATAAGAGAAAACAGTTAAAAGATTGATGCAAAACTAACGAGTTTGTACTAGCATATGCTAGTTTTTAATGCATTTCGATACAATTTTTTTGATAACCCTAATACTTTTAACAACAATATAACCCTACCTTACCATGTATATGACATAAATTTGATCAACATGAAAGAAAAACATAACTCATGTGTTTGGATGTTACTAAGATCTCTTAAATAAATTCCCATTATATATTTTTTTCTCAAAAAACCCAAATCAACTTACAATTTTTATTTTAAAACTCAAAGTGCATGGTACTTTTAATGCATCTTCTAGGGGTGTTCATGGTTCCCACTATAAGAATAAAGTCATATGACGACGACACATATATCAACGACACATACCATCGGTAAAAATAAGGCTATATCGAAGACTTGTCGTCATCATAGGGTTGACCGGTGGCGGAGCCATGCCTGTGCCAAAGTAAGCCCTGACCCAACCTTAAATTATTATTATTATTATTATTATTATTATTTTAAAACTAGTCTAGGCCCAACAACTTTCTTTTTCTTCTCTCAAATCCGGTTCCCATTGCAGATTACATAGACCTGAACTCGACGATTCCAAAATGAAAAGAAATCCTCCTTCACTCCAAAATCCTTGAAATCAGAATTCTCTACTACTACCATTCTGCTGAGATTGAGGCTTTTAGTTCCCAAAATCGTTCTCATATGAAATCGACGTTCACTATTAAGTCTCATTCACGCTCAATCTCAAACTGAATTAGTTCAAATCAATTTCTCAGTGTCGATTTTACTGATTTGTTGTTTCTAAGTGTTGATTTACTCATATTTTGTTTCAACTCCTTTCTTTACCCCAACCTCTACTTCGTTTTTCCGCCCATTGTTGAAGATGCCAAGGCCTCGATTAACCATTTGAATGCGTGAGAAGATCTTGGCAAAGTGACACACACCAACCCATTAGAGGTTCCATCATTCAATAGATTTTTAGGTAAACTTTTTTCAATTGAATCTTCAAAAAAAATTCGATTTTTACACTTGTTTATTGGGTTACTAAAATAATGCACACAATATGTTTTATCAGAGTTGTACATAAAAACCATAGGTATAAAAAAGAACAGAAAATGATAAGATAGTTATTTTACAAATTTAGTTTTTCTTTCATTTTAGATTCAAATTTGAGTTTATTTAGATCGTATTTATCTTGCTTTGGTGTTAAGCTGCCATTAATTTGGGTGGTATTAAAGTCAAAAGGCATTGATTTTCAAACAACTAAGATTATGCAGTTGGATTTTGTTTGAAAGGTCAAACATGGCTAATATTTATATAATTAGATGTTATGTTAATAATTACTAAATAGAAATGTCACAACAAACAATAAAATATTGTTATCTTTTGAAAGCTAAATAATTCCACACGATTTTTAAGCACAACTTCTACACAGGCTTAGTAAATTCTCAATTGTTGTTAATCAAGATATCAATGTTGAATGATAACTTGGTTACTTATATCGAAAAAAAAGTTTTTTAGTTGCTAATCAAGATATAAGTGTTATGTTTGATATAATGAAAACTCGTCCACAACCTTAGTGATTTTGTAGTTTTTTTTGGAAAGGCAGTGAATCTATATATGTTTTCGGATGTTGCTTTTATTTATGTTTCTAATTAATTTATGAGGACCACCCTAAAAAAATTTCGTGGTCCTGAGGTTGACCCAATTACTTTGACTTCAAAATATGTCCCAACGACTTGTTGTTTGCATAGGCAAGGCGTGCAATGAAAAATAATTCCCGGGTTTCTAATAATGTATACCGATGACTTGTTGTCGATCTAGGTTACATAAATTATATTTTCTATTTATTTATAATTCATGTAGCAGAAAAAAATGATTTCGTTTTTGGGAAAGTTGTTCTGATAACATATCGTTGAGATAGATTTGACGATACGTGTGAAGTCTGTCCCGACGCATGTCGTCAACAAAAGGTTTTTTTTTTTGTTTGTGAAAAAAGCAATACATCATCTTCCCACTTTAACCTTATACCAACGACACGTCGTCGGTATAGGGTTTTAACCCAGCAAACAGGTACCGACGACCATCTTTTGCAGTGGTGCCTCTGAACCAATTTCTCTCTCGATCTCTCACTGTGATCGTCCCTTCAGCTATCTCCTTCACCGTCGACCGCCGGTAATCTTCTAGACAACTCCCCATTTCCGGTTTTACTTTTTTTGAGGTTTGATTTTGAGATTTATGTGAACATTTTCCCTGTTTCTTCTTTGTTTTCTCGTAATGTTGTCACCGGAGGACCATCGTCAATGACACTCTCCTTCCAACCTCTTTCCTTCGCCGTTGACGACGTGTAAGGTTATTTGATTTATCATGTTTTTCTCTTCTGATTTGGTATTTTTCTGATGACAACCAGCCACCACCAGAGGACCACCGTCCAAGCTGACCACCGAAATTCAACCAACACAGCATGAAGAATATGTAAGGTTTCTTTCTTTTTTTTTTTTGGTTTGAAATCTGATTTTGCTCATGTTTATACCCACTGTGATTGTTGTATAATTATATGAAGCTGAAATTTGGTATAACCTGTTTGATTTTGTATTTAGATATATTGTATAATTGTATGGAATTAGAATTGGATATGCAAAATGTAAAATATCTATGATCGTGTTAGTTGTTAGGTTTATTAAGTTGAGTGCATATAAGATGAAATGATAAAGTGATTAATTGATAAGTTAAACAGGTTGTATTTAATTTCATGATAAGTTCTTATTGATAAGTGCTTAATGTGTTTCTATTTTCATGATGAGTGCTTAATTAATTTGTAAGTGAATGTTTACTGAGTATTTGCTATTGGTTTGTATTGTATAGACAAACCCTTACCAAAATATACAAGAAGATGAAGTTATTCAAGATCAAGAACATGAAAATCATTCAAATTCAAACCAAACCAAAACCTCTACATTTTCTGAAACTCTTCTTCCAAGGCATTTTCAGGCTTCAATGCCTCCAATTGATCGGCTCTAACCTGCTCCAAAAGAGTGGGCACTAACTCAATCCTCATTGATCTTCCTCTTACATAGATTTATGACGCATTATGGCCCAACGAATCCGCTACCATGTTCGCTTTCACGACATGATAAATCATCCTACAATTATAATCATTGATCAATTTTGACCACCTTCGTTGCCTCATATTCAAATCTTTAAGGAAAAGACTATAGCTGCCAACTCCAAATCATGTGTCATATATCTCATCTTGGCCTATTTAAATTGTCGCGAAGCATATGCAGTCACCTTACTGCGCTGCATCAAGAGACACCCGAGACCTTTAGCCAAATCATCACTATACACCATAAAATCTTTTATCCCATCGGAGAATGCTAACACTTGAGCTTCACATAATTTCTTTTTCAAAACATCAAACGCCTCTTCTTGATCTTGTACCCAAAAGAACTTCACCTATTTTCTTGTCAACTCACTAAGTGAACTGGCAATACAGGAAAAATCTTGGATGAAACAACGGTAGTATCTAGCTAGATCCAGAAAACTATGCACTTCAATAGGCATCCTCGAAGGTTCCCATTTCGTAATTGCTTCAATCTTCGCGGGATCTACCATGATTCCGGTACTAGACACGATTTTCCCAAGGAACTAAATTCTCGAAACCAAAATTCGCACTTTGAAAACTTTTCATACAACTTCTCATCTTTTAAGACTTGCAACACTTCACGAAGATGCTTCTCGTGCTATTCTTCAGTATTTGAATAAATAAGGATTTCATCATTGAAAACGATAAACGACTTGTCAAGGAAAGGCCTGCAAACTAGATTCATGAGATCTATAAATATAGCGGGAGCATTTGTGAGACCGAACGACATCACAAGGAATTTATAATGATCATAACGGGTTCTAAACATTGTCGTCTCAACATCGCTTCCCTTCACCAAAAATTGATGATATCCGGAACGGAGATCGAGCTTCGAAAAATAATCATTTCCTTGCAATTGATCAAATAATCTATTCTCGGTAACGAGTACTTATTCTTGATGGTAACTGTAATTGTTGGATTAGTGTCTAAGTTCATAACTATTTTGGTATGTAATTGACCCGATGGTGCATGGTCCTTTTGGGTTGCCTTTACCAAAGCAACTTGATAGGGTGAATTATGGAGAGAGATAGAGGATTAATTATGATGTATTAACATATTATAAGAGTAATATATTAAAGGAGAAATCATATTGTTTAATTAATATTAGTCAAGAATTAATAAGAATTAAGTTTGTGGCTAAAAGACATTAATTAAACTTAAGGGACTAGAACTGTCAATTGTGTGATAGTTGAATATTGGACTAATGGACTCCATATTAGAGGAGTGGACGAATTCTATGGGGAAACCCATTAGAAATCATCCTAGGCCTCTAAGGAGGGAGTCCATGGGTTGCTTAGGGCCTAAGCATCCAAATTAAGGTTTCCTTGTTAGATAACCCTAATAGCCTCACTATTTAAAGGACCCTTGAGACTCAAAAACGTGGTGAACTTGTTCCTTAGGGTTTCCACATGTTTTTGGCAGCCTTCCCTCTCCTTATTATTCATCCTCTTTGTAACATCCAAATTCCCAGATATATTATTATTCATTTAATTTTTGGAGTTTGTGAAGGAACTCGGCGAGTTGGCGAGTCCATCCGTGGACTCGGCGAGTCCACGCTGTTTAGTGAAGCCCCAATTTCCAGGGCTTGGAACCTATTTAAAGGCCCTTATGGCCGTCCATTGTGGCTACTACCCCCAAAGAGAGTCTCAGATCGTTTGAGAAGCAAGGAGTGACCATTGTTGATCTTTGTGGTGTCATTTAGTAAGAAGAATGAGGCTCTATCCAAGGGAAAGCAAAGGAGGTTGCTATTCTAAGGACTAAAAGCTAAGATCATTCATTCAAGGTATTATTTCGACTCTTCTTCTGTTTTGGGAAGGATATGTGGTTTTAGGGTTTCTTGTACCCTTAACTAAGTTGATTTGAGGTCCAAATAGTCCCTTCTAGAGATAAGGCTTTGTATCTGGACCCATAGAGGTCCAGAGAGCCTTATTCTTCAAGCTTTATGAAGAACAATGGAGGTCATGACCTTGGGTTAAGGTATTTGGGACAAAATCATCATTTGATACTTATTGGTTGAGCTATAAGCATCAAGATTCAGACTTTACGTGACATTTATGCTTGGGAAGGCCAGATCTATGGATTAGGGGCACAGATCTGATCATAGGAGATCAATAGAGTTTGTGCATGGCATGAACTCACCGAGTTGTTCTTGGGACTCGGCGAGTAGGGTTAAGGTCCAGACAAATTACTCAGTCAGTAGACTTGCAGAGTTTGGAGATAACTCAGTGAGTCAGAAGGGGGTTAAAAGACTAGAGTTCAAGGCGGTACTCGCCGAGCTGTTCTTGAGACTTGGCGAGTTGAGTCGGGGTAGCCCCGTAAATTCATGCCAAGTGTGACTCGTTGAGCATAGGGTAGGACTCGATGTACCAAGCGGGACAGAGAGTTAGTGGACATGTGTGTACTCACCGAGTCACCGGAGTGCACTCGGCGAGTTGGGTCAAAGTTGACCGTTGACTTTTTAAGGTTTGGTAAACAATAGGGTCCTTGAGTCAAGAGGGGGGGGGGGGTAAAATAGCCTTTTACCCTTCTGAGGGTGACAATAGAGGGTCGATTCTAGCCTCGAGTGTTATGTTTATGAGGGTATTTACTTTGTGTGAATAGGCGGAGGCTAGGCAATACTTCTACCGAGTTAGAGATTTACGAGACGTTTGAGGTGAGTCTTCTCACTATGCCTTACCCGATGGGGTAATTGTATGTGACCGAAGGGTCTTGTGTGTATGATGTATATGCGATGTAAGTTATATGAGATATGTTATGTGATATGAGCATGATGTGGGCCGGAAGGTCAAGATGATACGGACCGGAAGGTCAACCGAGTTTGGGATGGAAATCCCCTGAGACACTTGGATCGGAAGGTCCTATGGCCTGGAAAGGCGTATGTGATGTATGTGGTATTTTGGGGAACTCACTAAGCATTTATGGTTACAATGTTATGTGTTATGTGTTTCAGGTACTAGCGATGATCGCGGGAAGGCGCCGACATGACTCGTACACACACACACAATGGAGTTTAAATATTTTGATCTTGGGGTTTTGTACTGATACAATGTTTTTATTTATGGATGCAAACTATATTTCATGGTTTTTCAAAAGTGAAAAATTGTTCAAATTTTTACGGTGTTACAAGTTGGTATAAGAGCCTTTGGTTTGAGGGATTCGGATATATCTTCGGGCGTATCTGAACTCAAACTGGGGATTTGAGGAAATTTTTAATAATAAAGTAATTTTTTTTTAAAAAGAGAAAAAGGGTTTTGAGACAAACGGAGCAGAGCCGTGTGTACGATCAGCCAGCGCCTGAATGATGATTTCCCAAAATACTCTCATAATAAGTGTTATCAGACATGCTATGTTATGCTATGTGATGAATTACGATATGCATTCTAGATTAGACTAGGTATTCTTATTAGGACTAGAGTGGCCTGATATATGATGCCTTAGTCTAGGGGTTTTGCTGCTAGAAATGCTTAAGAATGTTTAGGTAGCAGCGAGGTGCTTATGAGAGAATTGCTAGCGAGTAGCACATGATAGTAAGAGTATAGCACTTGGGATTTGGGGCTCAAGGAGGAGGACTTGGGATGAATGCCGATGCGGTATGGATGGTAGTATTGGGCTCGTACTACTGAAGATACCGAGTTGGTGCGCTGTCCAAGTAAGAATCCTTAGGGCACTAAGGAACTAGTGGGGTGGAGTTATCGAGTGTGATTATACTCGAGTGGGTCCCTAATATTCTTATGTTGTATTTTTAGAGGGAGGTCATGGTTGGGACACGCCACACACCAGAGGTCAACGGGACGAGTGATAAGGAGATCCGTAGGATCATCCATGAGGAGGTGGCTGCGGCCATCAGGGCTGAGAATCCAGAGATGTTCGGGTCTATTAAGACCACCTTGATTGAGACTTTTGATGAGCGGTATGTTGTTCTTTCTGATGTTGCTGTTGCTGCAGCCACATCGGCCGTTGCTGCTGCCAGGCCGCAAGGGGGTGACTCGTTGTTGTATCGGGAGTTCAGCAACACGAAGCCACCATAATTCTGACATAGAGGGGTGCTTCTACA